ACCTCAGACCCTACCATCTTCTTGGAATAATGCCACTGCAGAGGGAAGGGGGAAATCAGAACTCTGATTTTTTTTTAACACCAAAATAAAACATTTTGGAAGCTAGGAAAGCACCTAAAGCAAGACAATACGAAACAGCGGTTCTGTTTACATTCAGCCCAGGAAGGTGTTAACACAGACTATGTCCTGAGACCATCTGAACCTCAGGGAAAGGCAAAGAACCAAAAACATGCCGTTTCAGAATCTTTCTCAGGAAGTTACCCAAGAGACCAGCGGGTTAAACAGGGGCTACCAGGATCACTAAGGGGTCACAGAAATTAACAGAAATGGAGCAGGTGACTCGTGTTTGTAAGTATTTGCAGCAAAACTGATCCAGGTAGGAGTTTTAACTCAGCAGCCAACGAATCCCCACAGCGTTCATTCTCTTCGAGGAAAAAGAAACAAGTGTGGCCACAGAGTCAGAAGTCAAGTCGCCAAGTCCCAAACGCAGCCACGAGTCCAGGCTGGTGCTGGGTGGGCCCCAAGACCAAGAGTGAAGACAGACAGAAAATGAAGGCATCTTAGCCCCGTTCCCTTGGGCTCTGAATGAACCCCGACTGACAATACCCAAGTCACGGCTGGTCAGCTAACCGCGAGAGGACGCTTCCCTGAATAACACTCTCCCCTTAAAATGCCGCTGCTCGTTCCGGGGCCTGGACGTGTCAGTGTGCATGCACAGCTTAATTTCGTGAGAACTGTGGATGGCCGTCCTCAGTGTGTTAGGTTCATCTGCCTCTTCACTGATCCAAGATCAAGAGTATTTCTGCCCTGACTGTTTCCCCACGCAGAGCTGCAAGCAGACTTAGCACACCACACTGAACATAATGAGGTGCTTCCTGGGAACCTCAGAGCTGCGGCCAGTCTCGGCCATGCCTGCCCCTCCCCCCAGCAGTCCTCCAAACCAGCGATCTTGGGAGGGGTGGCTTTTCCACGTGTTTAACTGGTGCACACCTCCTGGCCCCACACCCCAGGTACTGCCCCCGGAAAGCAAAGCGATCTGGCTCTCACGGCACGCCAGGTCCTCAGGGCTTGTTCTCGGTGATGTCACTATCAGAAACCCGGTCTCTAAGGTTCTGCACCCTCTCCAGTCTAGGCTTCCTTGGGTATTTCAGGCTGACAAACCCCAGGCGCTCCGGGACCAGCTCCCAGAGGAAGAGGTGCTCTGTGTATACAGACATTCAACCAAAGGATGAAGTAACAGACAGCACTCCGGCTGGGCTCGCCATCACTCAGCTGTCCACCGACGTCTAACACGCCTCCCACCCTAAGGGAAGCCCGTTCCCGCTTCTAAATGGTAAACGTCATAGGAATGATTTCCCAAGTGAAATCACGGTGATGATACTTCATGGGGTTGATACTGAAGGAACGAAAATACTAGCTTGGTTCCATTTCACATGAAAGTTTTACCAAAAGTGCTGAAGGTCCAGAGTAAAAATGTACGGCCGCAAGAAACACTCGTGTCTTTAAAAGAACATCACTTATTTCTGTTAGATCTCAACTCTTTTTCTCCAACTATGTCTCCAGTTGACTGCGACAAAGAAGCCAAAGAAGTCGGGTGACAGGAGGCCAGTTTTCCTTTCCTAAGACAATGAACCAAGCTGTGAAGACACCGTCTCCTGGCAAGAGCAGGCGTGGGCAGGCACACAAGTCAGCAGGACGCACTCGGGCTGCAATGGTACCGCCTGGTCCTGGAGCACAGGCGTGATCCATGGCGTCCTTCCTCACCACGCTGAACAGATGGCTTTCATAGCCACAGACCCTCTAAAAAGCATAACCTACTTCCCATCTACCCCCGGACTGGCACAGAGCTAAACTCCCGTCGCTGGGTTCACGGGTCAGCCAGTCAGGTGCACGTGACCTCACCTTCTTACTCGCCAGTCATGTTCCACGTGTGCTTTTCTGACTGTAATAAAAAAGTGATTGGACTCAGAACCCAAATCAGTTTGCCTCTGTTGATGAGTGGGTACTGTATCATAGAAGTCTTAATAAACAGGAAGCCCTGTCCATACCTACTTGGAAAGTAAAATGCTGTAACAAATGAGGGGGTGGGTCCTTGTGCCCTGTTAATTTCAAGTTAACTCTATTAAGATATTTTCCTACAATTAGGAAAATGTAGCTTACCTGCTAAACTGCATGTTAAATACACATTACTTCCCCATAGGTCAACCTGCTCCTCGGCACTCTGCCACGTTTTCTCTGAACAATGCTTGCAGAAACGGAACTTCCCTCATCAGAGTCACAGGATTCACATTCAGAACATCATAGGGAGTGGGTTCAAACTGTGCATGCGGGTTTCCCTTTAGAACTCTCAAACAGAAAGGACTGCAACCTTCTCTGGGGGGAACACTACTCTCCCAGAGCCCCTTTAAAACGTGAAAACGGCCGAGTGCACCTGGTGGTCCTGGCGCTCCCTCTGAAACAGACCAGCACCCATGTCTGCTGCCAGCTTCCCCCTGAAGACATGCTCTGCAGCAAACGTCCAGTCACCAGAGATTAAAACTCAAACAACAGCATGTCGTTATCCTATCACCGAGCATAACTACGACCACCCTTTAACTGGAAAATACTGAACCCGTGGAAGTTACGTTTAAGAGCTTTACTTATCAGTTGTAATTTTAAGCCTCAAGCCAAAAGACACGTGACCCTCTTTCAGTGATTCCACTAATACAGTTCACGTTGGCCTAATTTAGGACCTCAATTCTTGGGCCTTGGAGCCTTCTCATCCTGCAGTGGCCACACTGCACCCACAGAACTCAAGCCTGGCCTCCTGGCCACTCTGCCAGCAACCCCTGGGACACCCCAGTACACCCGGAATACATGCTGGGTACACCCAGCCCACCGCGGTACACTCCGGGCCCCGCCCACCGTACCCTGAAGCTTAATCTTGCATCCTAGTTCCTCCTTCTCAGGTGTTTTGTATGTTATTTGTAAGGGTACCTATTTGCACATACCCTTCGTCTTACACCATCCACCCCACTAAGCGAAGCAAAGCGAGAGGAGTGCAGATGAGCGAAGCGGACCTTAACACAGTTCTGCAAAAGGTCTTCAAGGCCCTGCGACAAGCTTCTACCATCTACGTGTTTCAGTGACCCCGTGGGCAGCGCCCATCCCACAACTCTCCCTCCCTGCCTCCGCTGCCGTGGCCCAACTCCAGCTTCCCTGTTGGGATCTCGGCCCGCGGGGCCTCCCCTGTCCCAGGGCCGCAGAGGGACACGCCTGGGCGACCCTGGCCACCCTACGCGGCGCCCTCCTCGCCTCTGTCCGGCTTCTCGGGCAGGTTGAGCACGAACGGGAAGAGCACGCCCCGGGCGTCCGGAGGGGCTCGCAGCGACTGGAGCTCGAAGCTGCCTTCCGTGCCCGCGTCCCGCCGGCTCGCTGTCGGCGGCGGCA